TTACCATAAGAATAATAAAAAGTGTATTCATTTATAATACGAAGGGAAAATGGTTGTAAATATAATGTTTAGCGAAGGGAAAGTGGTTGCAATTACTCATGCTATGTTGTCTCAAATAATATCATTAGCGACCGGATTATAAGTGGTCTCAAAAAGTTTTAGGGACCGACCTATTTTTGTAGTCGCAAAATGTCTTTTGCGGCAAGGCCAATAGGGACGGCACCGCGACCACTTTTTTTGGTCGCAATTACTTATTTGCGACTGTTTATTAGGTTTTTGCGACCACTTTTCCCTTCGCAAATGAGCCTTTTTCTTGTAGTGGAATGCCTATTTGATATTTTGGGTTTACTGATATTCAAATCGAATTTTTTCGGTTTTAATCTATCCAAATTGATATAGTTCGTTTTGGTATAGGAATCTTTTTTTTTTAATCCCAGTGCACACCATCCGAGGATGGGGTAGGGACTGGGGAACACCCTACCTATTTATTAATAAGGAAAAAATTTATAGGAATCTGCAAAACCGACATATTGATTTATTGAAATTACGGAAGACTAAAACAGGAACCTTTACACAAATAAAAAGCATTTAATATATTCTATAGATCACGATAAAAATAAAAATATTCTATAGATCATATTTTTAAAACTTTGGGCCTTCAGAATCGGGAGGATCTGTGATGTAGCATATTTTGCACACCCTAAGACCATTTGTAATGGTGTAGGATTAGGAGTCCAAAATGTTAAAGTTGGAAATTTTAGACTCCTAATTGTGTGTAGTGGTGGGTTAAATGGGGGGCTATAAGTGGGAAAGGGGATGAAGGGGTTTATATTTGAAGGGTGGGTTGACGGGAGTGGATAAAGGGAAAATGAAGAGAAAAGAAGGGAGGGGTGTGGTGGCTGCTGCGCAGGAGTTCAATTACTTGGTAGAATGATGTTGTTGTGACATCATTGATGTGTCATAAAATCCCAAGTTTTTAAAAACTCCTAAAACTTTTTTTATTTTTTATCCAAATTTTTGAATAAATATATCAAAATTTATAAAATTTTATGATCTTTCATATAACATCAATATTACACATATAAAATGCAATTTGTTTTTAAATTTTAACTGTTAGATTTTTCATGAACCCAAAAATATACGAAACACGAATTTTTAATTCATGTAGCTTCCATTAATAACTGAGTATTACATGAAATCTTTTTTTTAATTAAAATTGAAAAAAGTATAAAATGAAAAGTAACAATTTTTTTTAATGGAATTTAATTTTTTTACATCGAAATATGTATTTTTTATTTCATATATATTTAGGGAAAAAATTAAATTGAAAACATAACTTATAATAATTTTATTAATGTTTTATTAAATTGATACGTGAAAAAATATGTTGAGGATATTTTATTGACGGTGTTGGGGTGCAGAAAATAGGAGTCTAAACAATATTTTCATATGGACAGAGTCCATCTTTAACTTTTTGGCCTTTCAACTTCCACAAATGGTCTAAGAGCAAATACTATGGGTGGTCATTTGGGGATCAAAAAATTGGAGGAGGCATGTGACTAACCAATTAAAAAATGCCATGTGGCTTTTTAATTTAGAATGAAGCCACCAACCTTATCAAACATCCCCACACTCTCTAATTTCATTTATTATTGATTAAATTTAATTTATTGTAAAAAAGATTACCCCAAAAAATTAGATATTTTTTTCTCTATAAATATAGACCAATGAAGGATATGTTTAGTCACTTCGAAATTTACCATTTCTTTCCCTCTTGCATTTTATTTTATCTATTTTAGAATATATTTTCCTCTGAAAATAGATCTAACTCGTTCTTTAACTAGACACAATCTCAACAATAAGTTATAGTGAGTCAAATGTGAATTGTATATTCCTTTATCAAATTATATAAATTAATAATGGTAGAATACACCAAAAATATGGAGAGAGAATACAAATTTTAAGTGACCTAGGTCACCATAGTGGGATGAAAGTATGATATGTTAGAAGGGATTAAGTTTTTTGTGGAAGAGAGAAGATGAGATCAATACTCATTGGCATTGTGGATGCTCTAATGTCTAGACAGCCATGTGATAGAGTACTTAGCTTTTTTTATTTTATCTATCTTTTATATCTATAAAATACTTGACACTTACCTTTTGTTAAGAATTTTTTCTTCTTAAGAATGCTACAGTTTAAAAAAAAAGATTATTTATTTGGAAGACCCTAGCAAACTCTTTGTCACGCCCCAGACCTCCCCGGACACGTCAACAACCCGCCGTACAATACGAACAGTCAACCGCAGTCCGACACATTCATATTACACAAGGCGTCTTGAATATCATTCACACACATAACATCCATAAACAAACATAATAAGTAATTCATAACGCAGCGGAAACATTGTTTAAAACAAAAGAGCCACACAGGGCTATTCATGAGCACGCAGGCTCTATAGTAAAATATTCATGAGCATGTTTAATAATGTTTCAAATAGAATGGAGGAAGCATGAACCAAGTCTTCTCTCCGAGGGATCACTCGATCAACGAGCACAGGATGCAAGCTCTAGCCTCAACCTGAAATGGTGGTGGGACGCCCCCGAAGGGGTCAGTACTCTATACGGCTATAAAGTACTGGTGTGGCAGGCATCTAATAGATATACAACAAGTATTTCAAACACAAGACCCTCAAATAGGGTGATAGTACATTATGGTTTGTAACCCTAAGTTACCCCGTTTGAAAATATACTTACTTTATGTAAAAGTCAAGTAGTCGGCCCGTGGGCCCATGTTCATTTAGAAATCACCATTCCCATTCCTCGTGACTATAAGCCACGACAACTCATAGAGTCCAACCCTAACACATGACATTGTATTCTAGAGCTCGGCTCTACCACATCACCATACAATTCATGTCCTCGGGTCAATGTCCTTACCTTGCGTTCTAGAGCTCGGCTCTATCACATCACCACGCAAGCCCTAGAGCTCGGCTCTAGCTATTCAATACATAGACTACAAGTCTACCACCTTACCATGCATCCTAGAGCTCGGCTCTATCACATCACCATGCATGAAGGTCCAATTCTTAAGCAACCCTATGCCTAGAATTGACATATCAATAAACTACCATGGGTCATCCTTAAAGACTTCCCACCACTTAACCTTAGTTTCATACTAAGTCATCATATACACTTGAAGTATATTCAAGTGCATTTCATACAATCCAATCCCTAGGATCAATTCCATCAACAATTTCCAATAATCACTAACTAGTATTTCAATACTATTAAGATTATTGTTATCATACAAATATGCTCATTATTTGTAATCCTCTACATATTTATAATTATGTAGCAGCAACTTAAGTGTTCAATCTCGATACATAAACATTCATTTATGTATCCACATAATTCATACATGAGTAAAATGCCTATTTCACAAAATAGTTCATTTATAACTCATTTAATCTCATTTTATTCATACATTCTCAAATCATTTCCAATTTCATTCTTTGGCAACTATATCCATATTTCATCTTTATATAATCATCATAATCCAAAAAAATTATGATTTAGGCATTTAGGTAATCTCATGCTTAACCTACAAGTTGTAAGCAATTAGATGTCAATCCTCACCTCAAATGAGCTTTAAAACTTTCCTTCTCGATCCAATGACCAAAGCATCGGCCAAGGAAGCTTGAGAACTGATTCCTTGCTTATAAATGAGTGTTAAACAGCCTCCTCAAAGTGCTAGTTCAACCCCTAATCGTCGATACAAAAACAGCCCCTGGAATGGGTGTTTTCCGGTTAACTCGTTTCCTAGTTTTCCAAGACTTGCTCTAGGTTAGTATTTAACCTTTACATCAATAAAATAACTTTATAAGGACATATTATACACTTGGATTAGTGTACAATAGTTCCACCAATCGTTCATATCATTTGGAAAATGAAAGGAAAGGTTTTGGGGTTAACAACTCACTTTAGAAGTGTAGATCCGTTTCTGCGAGGTTGCGTTTTGCTCGGACGATTTGGAAGCCTTCCACTACTCCGATTGATGCAAACCAGACCTTCACGGATTCCTCGTCTTGAGATATTTATTTTGGTATCTTACTAGCCTTAATTGTATTGGTATAACTCGAGATATCAACCAAACAGCTTCAGCACTCTCACTGCTCGAGTTTACAGACAGCAGTTCACTCCAGCTCGGTTTTTGTGGGATAAACTCTCCATTCTCGAACAGAGACCACTCAAATAAGAAACTAGACTTCAAAAGCTATCCAATGACACCTCATTCACCTTATTTGGTCGAGTATAGCATCACTCATGGAGGGAGACAACCAGCACCATCCTTTTGTGCGAAAATAGACTAGGTGGGGTTCCCTCTTGCTTCCTTTGTCAAGTCCAGCCCCTAAAGTCAGCTATGGCAGCCTCCTAACATTATTTTTCTTGTCTTGCAGGTGGGAGGAAGAGATGGGGCGCAGCATGTTGTTCCCCAATTATTTTGGGAGCAAAATATTAACTAATACATCCAAAAATGGAAGAATGGGTCCTATTGTTTAATCTTTTGTCAAAAGATGTCTTTTTGTACTCATCCTAATTTATTTAGAACAAGTTAACTTCCTACATTATATCATTGATTCCCAATATGTGTAGGATCATCCCAATAATTCATGTGATGAATATTATAGAAGAAAAACCCTACTCCCATTATTTAGCTCCATAATGTCAAAGATGGGACCATAGACATTTGTATTCTTCTCTAATCACACTATCACTTATTTTGACATTTGTCATTCATATTATTGGACTACTAGCCGCGTGGGTCATCCCCGAGTGGGCCTACGACGCCATTCTTGAATACCTGCTATTTTAGCAGGTTGGACCCAAAAATGTTGGGCCGCCCGTCCTTCCTCAACCTGTCTTGAAAGGTTATGTAACATTATTTAGGTAATGTCGGGCTCTTATGTTCGTTAATAAGGCCCGAATAAGTATTTGTAAAACCGACACTAATATACGAGTTCGAATAGTACAATAATCGATCATTAATTTCATAAAACATTAATCGCTTTACAATTGTTTGGATATCGGAAATTCAATACATAAACTTTGAATTTTAAATCAAATTTTCAAGGACGTTCGGGTACGGTGTCACACTCTTACTCAAAGGAATCTTACAAGAAGATATAAAAAGGGAAAGTTCCCGAAATAGGATTAAAACAGTTTGAAAATTCCAAAATAGGACTGTCATGTTTTTATTCCCAAAGCAGGAGTAATTACTGTCAAGTTTGAAAAATAGTGCCATGTTTGAAGTGTGGTACTGCCAAAACATGGAAGTAATTAGTCATATTTTGGAAATAAAAACATGTCAGTCATATTTTGGAATTTCCAAACCTTTTTAGTCCTATTTTGGGTAAATTCTCATATAAAAAACGTTAATGGAAAATGTTTTGCTCCAAAAGAATTGAAACTTAGAATTCATATTGAACCTAGCTCTCCACCAAGTTCTTCTTCACTCCCAAATGTCAACTGTATTTGACACCACAACCGGACTCCTAACCGAGTGTGACCCGTTGACTTCAACCCAAGTGACCGAACCCGAATACTTGCTCTGTTTCTCGTCACCTCTATAACGCATCCTCAAAATGTAGCTCTGTTTCTCGTTCTTCTTCCGAAACACCAACCTGCTGGGAGCCACCGACATCGTAGAATTCTCAGGCACTACTAGCTTAGCCGTGTACGTAGCCGGACCCAGCCCGACATTCGTGAGGGTCCTCTTGAATGTCCGGACCAACCAATTGAATACTCCATTGTCTCCCCCCATAGGATACAGAGCAATGAAGGACGGGTAGTTGAAATCTGGGTTCGGGTCGGAGCAATTGTGGGCGCCCGAGGATCTCGCAATGCTTCGGAACTGAGCTTCCGTGAAATTCATTGAGCATAGGAGATTGATGTAGTCTTGGGGCGTTGCGTCGTAGACGAGACCCGGGTCAGCTGCCCTGTTCGGGTCGACCATACCCGCACCCATATCCAGAGAAGTGGCGACCGAGCCGTCGTCGGCGTCTTTGATTGGTTTTCGTGAGTTATCCAATGTATTAGCCGTTGTCATCATGGCAGACCTAATAAATAAAAATAATAATAGTTAATAATTAATAATCAATATATATATAAAAGAGGAACTTTTTAAGAACATACAATGCGCCACATAACCTTGTCATGTCACCATATATAATAATTACTTGTATTTAAATATTTTTAACTTTTTATTGTTATATTACATGTTGATATGGAAATCCTTCTTATTTGGTATGTTAATAAATCTTCCGATACATACGTATTTAACTTAGATCAGAACTAATCTATAAGTTGGAATGCTACGTAACACAACTTTTTAAAATATTTCTTAAAACCATGCAATTCAAATAATAAAATCCTATGTTTATTTTAAACTAAAATAATTTTTTTATTTGTACTCTGATTGTTACAAAAAATATATTAAATTTAATAATTTTTTATTATCTTTCATATGACACCAATATTGAATATATAAAAATAAAGATAAAAATTAACACTTTAAAAAACATATGTATTTTAAAGTGATATATCTGTTTTATTTGTACTCTGATTGTTACAAAAAATATATAAAAATTTATAACTTTTTATAATCAATATATATATAAGAGGAACTTTTTAAGAGAATACAATGTGCCACATAACCTTGCCATGTCATCATATATAACAATTATTTAATTATTTTTTAGCTTTTTATTGTTATATTACAGTTGATATGGAAATCCACCTTATTTGGTAACTTTAGCAACATCCAAACCTACGTAAAGATGCAAGCTTTATTTTGAATTTTCAATTTCAGCATTTGGAAACATAAAACCTACATATAGATGTATGCTATACTTTACCATATTTAGATTTAAATATTTATGACAAAGGAAACTTTACATGTTGATGACAGTAGCAAATGAATCAAATTTTAGTAGGTCTCCAAACATAAATTCAGAACTTCTCAACATTAAAATCAAGTTCATGTAGGCTTCTTGGTGTTTCTAAAATCAGAATTTAAAAACATAAAAATTCCGTATAGAGCAGCCGTATGCTATTACACTTTACATATTGATCATCATAGAATTGAACACTTGCTATTATAAAAAGGAAGAGAATGTAAACTAAAGTATGTTTTCATTATTCAGTTTTATAAATTTTAATAATTGATCGAGTTTTATAAATTTTATAATAAGATACAAAAAATTCTTATGAATAAACACAATGAATCAGAAATAACCATTTACCGTCAACAAAAATATAATGCCATTTGGAATAATGCATAATGAATCCCACTCACTAGAAATGTGCTATATATGGTACCATGCTCTACATGGATGGATCAAGCATTTGAATTGAGAATGAACGAAGGAATACATTTGGATTCCGTGGCATCTTCAATTTTTTTAATTAGTTTAGACAACTCAAATTTGTCCAATTTAGAAAAGAGTTGAAATTTTAAAAACTACACTTTTAAACGTTTTAAGTGACGAAATTATGAGTTAAATGTAACATCTCACTATTAAAATTTAAAATTAATTATGCATACCATTCAATCAGAACTTAATCAATTTCTGCAGAATCAGTTGATTCGATCAATTCCAGTTTTATCAAACGGGCTCTATATTAAACTAAGAGGTTTTTTTTATTATGTCGTGTCTAGATTAACATGCATGTCTAGGTTAAGATGTCTGATTAAATGATATTTGTATTTGAGGCTGTTTATTTTGTATGCTGAATAAACAGTCTGAATCGTGTAAAATAAACAATTCCATATTATTCTTGATTTATAGTGTCAATGAAAAAATTCATTTATTAATTGAAAATTTGAAAAAAAAAATGACAGGAAAAACGTCTCAATAGACGTCTTAATGGGAAGAACTTTTATTCTCCAATTTACGGATTAAGTTAGTTTTTTGACTGAATGATTAAGTCATATTTTCAATTAAGTAGTAAGTAAACATTACTTAATGACTGAATGCTTAAGTCGTCAATTGTCATTAAGTCTATTAAGTTGAAATTAAACAACCCCTGAGTTTATTTTACTTTTGCATCACATTATATATGTTTTTGAAAAAAATCAAATTTAAATTTAGCTAAATTACGTACTGCCCGTGCATCGCACGGGCTTGAAAACTAGTATAAAATAGAGAAAAGGGGCAAATAAGGCCACGTACTAACAAAAAAAGGTCAAATAAGGTCTTATTTAAGAGGCTCTGTCCGGCCATCGCCATTTGAGGTGGTTCCCGGTAGAATTTTTTTATGAAATTTTTTGAGCATCTTATTCAGTGAGTCTAGTTTACTCATATCAAATTTTAGCTAAAATTTCAATCGGGAAGGCATTCAAATGAATTCTTGAAGATAACTGTGCAGTTAAAAGCGCAGTTATATTCAAGAATTCATTTGAATGCCTTCCCGATTGAATTGTTAGCTTAAATTTGGTATGAGTAAACTAGACTTAATGAATAAGATGGTAAACAAAATTCATCAAAAAATTCCATCGAGAACCACCCTAAATGGAGAAGGCCGGTCAGAGTCTCATAAATAATGCCTTATTTGACCTTTTTTGTTTAGTACGTGGCCTTATTTGCCCCTTTTTCCTATAAAATAAAATAAAAATAAATCTATAAGAATCAATCTTGTCGTGTCAAGTGGATGATCAAATGAAAACTTAAAAGTTGCATCTCACTTTGGCCTTGTTTGGCAAATGGCTTATCAGCCATTTTTAGCTTCTTTGACTACAATTAATGAGTTTGACTATTTAAAAAGCTAAAACTATTGTTTGGTAAATGACTTATTAAGGGTCTGTTTGCAATAGCTTCTGCTTTTAAAAAAGTGCTTTTTTTAATGAAATGAGGAGAAGTGATTAAATAAAAGTTGATAGTGTTTGAGAAAAAAGTGATTTTGAAAAGTAAAAGTGGGTAGTGTTTGGTAAAATAAGTGCTTTTTGTGTAATAGAAAAAGTAAAAGCACTTTTGACGCGGAAGCCGAGAAAAATAAAAGTTGTAGTGTTTGGGAAAATAAGTGTTTTTTTAAAGCCAAAAACTGAGAAGTGTTTTTTTTAAAGCAGTTGCAAACTAACCCTAAGTTAGCTTATTGGACCCTACCACTACCAGCCAAAAATCAAAACGCTGCATAGCCTAGCGTTTGGATTCGGCTGCTCCAGCTTGAATTGTGCCTGTAATGCCCTTCATTTATTTTTCGTTTTTAATTCGTTTCTAATTTTCTATCCCATTAGTTAAAATATGTTTTTTTAGTTGCTCTGCACGTGTTACGTTGTAACTTCAACGTGTTATCCACAATGCGCATTACTTTCTTTGATTTTTTCCATTTTTAGTCCTTGACTATTGAGCGAGAGACACTTTTGATACCCGTCTTTGAAAATTTTCATATTTAGTCCTTCAACTTTCATAAAAGTGACATTTTTTGTCCTTCAACTATTATAATAGTGACATTTTTAGTCTTTCCCTTATTGTATCAAAATCATAATTGGAGGACTAAAAATGTCAATTTGACAATACTTAGGGGCTAAATGTGAGAAACTTTGAAGTCGAAGACTAAAAGTGTTTCTAGCACAATAGTCAAGGACTAAAAATGGAAAAATTATAAGTCGAGTACCAAAAGTGTCATTGACATAATAGTCGATGACCAAAAATGGCAAAAATTCGCAAATTTTATTAATTTTGATTAAAAACTTTTTGGCTACCGGGCATAAGTTACTGATCCATAGAGCATGCAATAAACAATTTATATGCAATTTCGTTTAATTTAAATGCACTTCCGTTTTTTTTTCTGTTCTGGTCATTGGTTGAAGTAAAATGATTTATACTTTGTAATTAAATGTATGTAATATTGTTTTTATATGCAATAACTAAAAATTATAAAATTAAACACTAATGTCCTTATATGTCTTTTTACACGCGAACAACTATTCTTAAACAGCTAATATACCAAACATTTGCAGACAAGAAGCTAACATAATCAGTCAACTAAAATAGCTGGCACAACCAGCTATTGTCAATCAGCCGTCATAACCAGCTAACAGCTAACAGCTAACAGCCGATTGACAAACAAGGCCTTTATCTACGAAAACTAAGACTCAAATTAGAGTTTTAGCCTTTTAAGGTCATATCAATAATATATATAAAAAAGGAGTTATAATAAATATTGACCTAAAAAAAAGAGTTTCAACTGTTTTTGGTATACATAAAGATAAATATTGACCTAAATATGTTAATTGTTTTTGTACAATTTGTACTTTGAGATCATTTATTTAATCACCTCAAATATTGGAGTTAATGACACAAACTTTTATCAAATAACTTTTAATTCACTTTTAATTCTACGTATTGAATCGTGTTATCATATACTCCCATACAATTTAACGGTTTGTAGTTATATTTACCTGATCAATATGGATTTATTTTTCAATTTTATGTAGCGTTAATAGGAATTGCTTAATACAAGCATCTTATTTTTCGGCTTATTACACTAATCAGCTAACATTTTTCACAAAACACAGGGTAACTTTTAAATTCACGCATTGAAGTGTGTGAAGTTATTGGAGAGGACAGTTCTAACTATTTGATTTTACCAAATGAGGTCTAACTATTTTAACAAAGATAGTTTAATTTGTTTATAAATTTAATCAGCGTTTTAGGTCTATTTAAAGATTTTTAACGTGAAATATGAAATTTCGAAAACATGAATTTTAATTCTAAAACTAATTCCTTTAAAAAAAATCAAAAACTAATTTAATTATTTATGGATGAAAGAAGTGTATACCTAATTGCTGAAGGGCTCCAAGTGGGGTGTGCCCCTTTGAGCATAGCGGCGATTCCGGCGGCGTGCGGACAGGCCATCGACGTCCCCGATTCAAGTATGTAATCTGCGCCCAACTGAATGTTGCTCCCAACCGTCACCGCGAAACTATTCGGGGGATAGGCAGCCAGAACCAAAACCCCCGGTGCCAATATATCCGGCTTCGAAATCCCCAGGTAGCTCCGGGACGGACCTCTGGCGGAAGAGGCTGAAACCGCCGGTGCTGGTTTTTTCCCAAAGATTGTCTCTTGGAATGTGATGGTGGCGCGTGGGTCTTTCCCGGATTTCGCGTAGCTGATCACTTCCTTCCCTTCTTTGGGGCTGATGAAAACTCCGGGATTGGGAAAAACCGTTGACCGGAAAATCCCGGGGTCGTCGTTGATGAAGACGGCGGCATGAAATCCAGCTTTAGTAATTGCATCCACTTGTGATGAGATAAACGTGGGGTCTTCGTTCGCCGGTTTCTCGCAAATGAGAATAGTACCCGCCGGATTTGGGACTTCGGCTAAAAGCTCCGACGAATCACAGGCGGAAACCGTTTTGTTGTAAACGAGATTGTCGTTTTTCACCAGTGCTCTCCCCGGGAACAAGCTCCATCCCCTGATTGTATGCCCGTTCCCCAGTTTCAGCGTCCCGGCGAACCACCGGTCAGTGTGGCCGGAACCAACCGTCAATATCCAAGGAGCGGCGTTGTTAACAGTACCGACATTAGGACCTCTGTTTCCGGCGGATCCTGCGACGAGAATACCCTTCATCATTGCTCCGAAAGCCGCGATTGCGACGGAATCTTCGTACAGGGGAATGAAGCGGTATCCGATGGAGACTGAAATTACGTCGACGCCGTCGGCGACGGCCTGGTCCATACCGGCGATGAGGTCTGAAGTAAAAGCCCCTTCCTCCCAGCTGACCTTGTAAACCGCCAAACGAGCACGGGGCGCCACTCCTTTCGCCGTGCCCGGAGCATAGCCGAAGTGGGAGACGCCGGCGACGTAGTTCCCGGTGGCGGTGGATGCCGTGTGTGTGCCATGGCCGTCGGTGTCGCGGGCGGAATTCATCGATATGTTGACTCCCGGGTTGGCGGCGAGAACTCCGGCGTTGAAATAGTTAGCTCCGATGAGCTTTCTGTTGCACAAGGAGGAATTGAAATCCGTTCCTGCCTTGCATATCCCCTTCCACCTCATGGGAATCTCCGGCATCCCGTCGTCTCTAAAGCTCTTAGATTCCGGCCACACACCGGAGTCAATCACGCCGATTATCACATCCTCACCGAACTTGGACGCCGGCCATAGCCCTGTTTCCGGATTAAGCTTCAAGAAAGCGGGAGTATATGTGGTTTGAAGCTCAAAGGTCCGATCTTTATAAGCGGCAACGAAGCCAGGGGACTTCTTTAAGACGTTGAGCTCATTCTCTGACATAACAGCGCTGAATCCATGAAGAACATTGTCGTAAGAATAGACGAGCTTGGGAGAAGAACGGAGACCGCCGTTGGATGGGATGGTTAGGGAGTCAACGGCGGAGGAGTACCAGTGGTGGTGGGTGGGAAAAGCAGAGGGCATGAAGGACTTGTCCATGTGGACAATGTAAGTAGATCTCTGTGCTGATAGAGGTGTGGGGCCGACACAAAGAGCAAAGAGAAGCAGCAGCCATGGGAGGAAGACTGGAACCAGATGTAAGGGTGAATTCATTGGACACTATGAAAAGCGAGGTTGCACTACGAACTTAATGAGGGTACATAAAAGGGTATAATTATTGGTCACACCCTCCATATAGTAAGGTCAAAGGAGACGGCTTACTGTAGGTTTTGATATACAACTACTTGATCAAGTGGCAAATAACAAAGGATCTTGTGTCTCGTGACTAGGTCATCCGTACGACAAAGGATCCTAATTAAGTCATCTCCAAGAAGGAAAAGTCTTTTGTGCATAAATTAGTATTGTACACGCTTTTACATTTGTCTATGAATATTTTTTTCTGTTACAGACAAAACATGCTTTTTTGTGATAGATAAAGAAAAATCTTCTCTAACACGTGTAAAAGTGCATACAACAGTCATTTATGAACATCAAGAATTGTTGCTCCAATAGAGATGTGGAAATGTGGATTGTATGTCTACCTCGTCAAATGCATATTATAATGTATTTTGATTTACATCTTTGTACAATAAAAAAAAGTTGTTATTGACCCTTTTAATTTACATAGTTATCTTTTTTATCCGTGACTGAAAAATGTTAACATGGCTATTAAATCTCATCAAGAGTTATATCATGTCAGCACTCATCGTATGATATACTACTATATAGTTCAATAAGGGCCTGTTTACTTTGGACTTAATGAGTTTAATAGAAATCTGACTTATTCGCTCAACCATATAATGTTGTTTACTTGTGACTTAATAAAAATCAGGACTTATTAGCTCAGACATTTTAGGACTTATTGGTTCAGGACAATTTTAATACTACTCCTTAGCATTCAGACCTAATTTTACAACCCGATTCTCTTTTATAATCCTTGTGTATACTTCACCGCTGCGGCACATCACACCTGCGACTTTGCGAGCTTCACAATTCGGCGAGCTCGACCGACAACGACGCCAAACACAGCGCGACTCCCCACCGCTTCCCTATTGTCGCAAATCCTACGCATCGTACCTCACCTGTGCAATTGACAACCTCCGCCACTCCGGCAATTCATATTGTCTGTTTCTTCAATTTCTTATTGCTCGAGTGCATAGCAATTGGATTCAATTAATATCTTCAATTGAAATCTGGATTAGGGGAACAGGCTTGGGGTTATGTTTTTGTTAATTGGGATTAGGAGGATTTTGTAATTTAATGGAAGCAGTTGTTGGAGGTGGGCTTGGAGTTGTGATGGGAGGGTTGTGGTCTGACTTGGGGCTGCCGTGGCTGGCAAGGGTGCGGTGGTAGTATGGGTAGGTTTTGGGCAAACTGGCCGGAAATGCCACACTACCGGTGGAGCAGCAGTTTTACGGTGGTTATGAGTAGGATGGAGAGGGGGCAGAAGGATAAATTGGTAAAATGACATAATTCAGACTATACATTCAGCACACACAGTAAACAGCTTGTTTTACCAGTAACACTTATTTCAGACAGACATCTTAATGCAGACAGACGTCTCAATCCAGACAGAATTTAATAGAAAAAAAGTAAACAGGCCCTAGGACTCCTTCCAACTCATTCCATACATGAAATAATTAAACATTTAATCAGGGTTAATTGAGTCAGAATTTTCACCGCCCCTTCATCTCCTCTATGCGGCTCTAATCCTCCTTCCCGAGTCCGACTCTTCGTTTTCTTTTTCTTCTTCCCAACTCCTCTCCGTCTCACGAATGTTCTTCTTCTACTTTTTTGTGTTTTTTGAAATCAGGTATGATCCTTACATTAATCTCATCGACCTTTGTGCGTGACTAATGAAACCATGTACGTAGTATCATTTTTGTTGGGATGCAATTTTGCCATGCCTTTATTTTTTCCATATCGATCTAAGTCAAATAATGAAGCTATGTGAATGATTTCAGTTAATTTATACCTTCAAAGAGCTACGGAGTATATGACACGGAGCTAGCAATGATAAAATGAAGAATAACAATCCAAATTGGTGTCACTGGTCTGCTCTCGGTGTTAGATTTTCAAAGACAATTAGTTTCATTTTTACTTTCTTTTGCGCTTTTGTATTGCATAAGAAATTATGGATTTGGAGTTCTAATGGATACCTCATACCTGTAAACGCTTTTGTTTTTAAATTTGTTGAAATCAATACGATGTTAATTTTGCCTAATCTGTTGTACGCTTTTGTCTGTTGTAGAATAAAAAACGAATGAACACACGTGTCAAATGAAGTGGAAATAAAAAAAAATTGGGAAAACTGTCAATTTGATCCTCGTATTTTCATGAAAAAGTCAATTGATTCCTCGTATTTTTAAAAATATCAATCAAGTCCCCAAACTTTGTAAAAACGTTCAATTGAGTGCATTTGTAGGTTACTTGCCATCAACAAATGCCTGGTTGGGCTTCCACATGTGAACCACGTCAGCAAAATTATTACTGATTGGGCTGCCACATGCACGATACGTCAGCGGGTGACCTGTTGACATGACAAGTAACCTGCAAATGGACTCAATTGAACATTTTTACAAAGTTCGGGGACTTGATTGATCTTTTTAAAAGTATGAGGACCTAATTGACTTTTTCATGAAAGTATGAGGACCAAATTGACAATTTTCCCTAAAAAATCAAAAAATTTATAAAGTTGATGTGGAGATGACATGTGTGCATTTTAACGGATGCTAACAGCCATGGATAAAAAAAAGTTAACTATGCAAGTTACAAGTATCAGTAACAAATTTTTATTTTGCGGGGACTTAAACCAAAACACAATGTAATTAGGAGGACCAAAAACATATTTAAGACTTTTTGAAATGTAAATGTTGTCTCAGATGTATAATAAATTAAAGTAGACTAAAGGAGTGTTTGCGGTTGCTTAAAAAAAGCGATTTTCAACTTTTGGCTTAAAAAAGCTGAAAAGACTGTTTTCAAATGACAACTTCTACTTAAATTAATCACTTAAAAGCTAAAAGCTGGAAGCAGGCGGAATGATGTTTTAAATTGCTTTTCACTTTTTCTATTACACAAAAAGTACTTATTTTACCAAAAACTATCAACTTTTACTTTTTCAGGATAACTTTTTTCTCAAACATTACCAACTTTTACTATTAAGTACTTTCTCCAAAATCACTTTAAAAAAACACTTTTTAAAAAATAGAAGTAATCGCAAACGCTCCCTAAATCTCGGTGATATGACAATTTGAAAAGTGGAGTAAGGTCTAGGACAAGGTCTATCTTTGGACCTTCGGTGCCACCTCTACCCCTTATGGAGCTTTTCTCTTATTTAATTTTGTCTTCTTGTTTTTGCAGTGCAGTAGTATTTTGATATATTTTCCATTTATTTAAAGATTGGCCCGCACGTCAAATGTACGTTTTTCATTTTTTGCAGTCCGTATACCGTGCAATCGGAGCATGGTGAGCACCATGCTCCACACCCCAAAATGACGTAGTTTTGATCAATTTTTTGAAAAAAATCGCGTGAACAGTACACGCGTGTACAGTAACTTTTTTTTTTTTATTTTCATCCCAGTAGCATGTATGATGTAACTTGTGCATAATTAGATGTAACTCGTGTTGTTACAACTGTAATTTCATTTAGCAACAAATGTAACTTGTGCCCTGAAATGTAACTCATGTTTAATGAAAAAAAGAGTCTAACTGTCCAATTATTTTACATAAATAGTGCATATGTTTTGTTTTTAATATTAGGTCCATTAAAAATGATTTTTAATAAGAAAATCATTTTTGATTGAATAACATAGGCTTTTTTGTTGTGTAACTTGCATTGTTTTGTGGTGTAACTCGCATAATGTCAAATGTAAATCAAGTGTAATCAAGATGTAACTTATAAAGAAAAAATGAAATGTAAATCATGTGTTACAAAATGTAACTTTGGCCAAAATGAAATGTAATGCCGGTATATATGAAATGTAACTCTATAATATAAACAAAGCAAACAAATAGCAGACTAAATAATAAATAAGTGTTTGCTTTCTGTGGATTAATTTGCTCTAATATGAATATCCAAAGCCTATCAATTGGATTGATTTGCTCCATATTTGTTTACTCCATAAATGATATACCAAAGCATCAAAAGAGAACCACCAGCAAATATCAAAAAAGGAATTGGTCATCTATTTTACAATTAGAACGGGATGGAGAGAAGACTCGATGCTATGTGACGGATCTGTGATTGGGAAGTGGGAAAGGAAAAAGCCTGATGGATGGCTGATGGAGAAAGTGATGAAGCAGGGTGTGTAGGTGGGAACGACCGGACGGTGATGGAGAAAAACGATGATGTCAGCGTGGCTTGTTTCTATTTAAGTGAACGGTGCCATATCAGACCCCGGCATACCATGCGCATGGTATGCCGCTTGCACGGTATAATTTGCCATTTTTTGCCACTTCACTACCAATGCACTAAAATCATTCAAGATGCTCTTACGTACTCCTTTTAATTTATATCAAAATGAATATACAGTTTGCAAAAATAGACGCTTTTTGATATCGTAATTTGTAAATGAATTGTATACTTTATTATAGTGTATCCTTGGATGTTTTCATTCATTCTTGATTTTCACTGCTTTGAGTTTCCATAGAGTTCATAGAAGAAAATTTTGTGAACAATGACCATTTAACATAACTATATTTTTTCAAAAAAGAAAATGAAACACTTTATTTGATACAATGCAAAAATGAAATTGAGACAATTACTCCGTATTATATTTTGATGATGATAGGGAGGGAGGAATAAGTACAACCTTTCCATCTCACACATAGATCAAATAATGCGTTCTTCATGTATTTGTAGAACACTTCTTTTACTCTCTATTAAGCAAAATTGACCAGCACAATATATTTTTGCTTTACTTCCAAGTGAAAATATGTACACTTCTCATGTTGCTATGTCCACCCCATTAGGCCGCATACGGAGTATTAAATAGAGTTGTGCCCTTGCTAACTTTATCTTTAACTCATTTAGAGGGAGTGTTTGCAATTGCTTCAACTTTAAAAAAGTGATTTTTTAAAGTGATTTTGGGAAAAGTGATTAATAGTAAAAGTTGGAAGTGTTTGAGAAAAAAGTGATTCTGGAAAAGT